CGTGAAACCTGTTTTTCTTCAAATTTTCAGTCAAAATCTGCTCTCTTCTCAATGTTACAGACTGCAGCTTTAACAAATGCCGTGTTTTTGATGCTTCCAGACAGAAGCTACAGTTAAGACCACCATGGAAGGAAACTCTGGCGGGAAGTAGCTAGTTTTATATCACTGGCTGTGCTTAATGTGGTTCCTAGTAAATCAGATGCCAATACTGGAAATAAACCAGTTTCCTACCTCTCTTTGGAGTTATTAAACATGCTATGAAGTTTCTCCACAGTTCAGGGAGTGAGAGATGTGTGACACTTGTTTATTTAAATCAGGTGGAGATGAGTTTATTTCCCAAAATTCTACAGTAATGCTTTTTCATTAAACTGATGCCTTCTCCATTATATATAGATGACTGTGATGAGACGGGTAGCCTGGCTGGATCAGAGCTCCCGTTCACTGCCTTCTGTTTTCACCGAGGCAGGCAGAAAAAGAATGTCCTAGGAGAAGGTAGACGGATGTCACCGTGCACTTACCAAGTTCATTGTTTCACAGAATCAATAAGAGAACCAATAAGGAATCGATGCGTTCACAGAACCGATAAGGGAATCGGAATTGTGAAAATCTTATCAATTTCCAACCCTACCCTTAAGCATGAGAGCTTTAATATAAGAGAGATTCTGGAGGAGCTACAGAGAACATTAGCTTGGGTGGGGAAAAGCATAACAGATTTCAGTCATTGACTGAACTTCCAGTTGCTCTGTAATCATTAATATCACAGCCTCACCTTTCCCCTTAAGCCCTGTCCTGCAGAAGTCTTCCTCTCATTGTCTTTCCTGTGTCTCTTTGCCTCCTTCAGAGCCATGTGGTTGATGTGGCTGTCCCCAAAGTTGCCGCCCTGTGACTGCACATCCCAGCTTGGGGGGGAGGCTTTATTAGTGTGATCTGGATGTCCCCTGTCCATGTTGCTGAAATTGGGCCGTCTGGGTGCGCTCTTCTGAACGGGACAGGAAAAACTTCCCATGCCTGAGGATGAGTAGTGACATGATAAAAGCTAAGGATTAGTTCCAACTTCTTTCAGGTTGGAATATATTTGAGTGGAAATTTTTAGACAAGAACCAAAAGATTAGAGAGGTTACATTGCAGCATGTTATTTCTCACCGGGAGTTCCAGGTCTTTTATTCCTGGCTTTCATATTTGCTTGGAGTTTAGGAGAAATGGCTGAAAAGGGAAAAGTCCCAGCAGAGTTTGCAGGAGCTCCTTTAGAGGATGAGCTAATCTTGATGTCACCAGTTTCGCCTTCGCTGTTGTCACTGTCAGCTTCCTCGTCTGCAAAATTTCAGCATATCAATGATCAGTCAGTGAAGTTCTAGTGACTTTCATATAAAGATTGGTTACAGCCAGCATTGTATGGGTAAATCCATGACCGGTATCCACACAGAATAAACAGTCACACACAAACAATTTAGAGTGTTTAATTAATATGCCTGTCTAAGGAGATTTGAGTCCTGGACCTCTTGCACCGTTATGCAGCCTAAATCTGAGGTAGATCATCTCATTGCCTAACTGCTGGATTAAACTTTGAAACTTACAGATGTTCACAGGTCATCCATATTGAGCCTCAATTGTTTATGTAGATTCCATCTCGTCTAGATCTAACTCAGCATTGTCTTAGGTTATAGATCCAAACCAGGTCCTGCTTCACACTTAAATCTTCCCAAAAATAAAAAAAAAACAAACCGTTCGACTTTGTTTTCCAAGTTTGAAGACGTTTCGCTTCCTATCCAAGGAGCTTTTTCAATTCAAATGTCAGGAATGAAAAGCCTCCTGGATGGGAAGTGAAACGTCTTCAAACTTTAAAACAAAGTCCAGTGTTTTTTTACGTTTTTGGAATGACCATGACCTGGATGACTGATAATCTTTACCAGCACTTAACCCTTAAATAAATTCAACACATGAATTCAACTCATCATAATTTTTTTCTAAACATGCAAAAAAGCAGTTATAAATGGCAATAATCTTAGATATTCTTACAAAAAAAATGTATTTTATTAAAAATGTCTCAATGCAGATAAAGAAATTATCTGCAATGCCAGATTTTAATCAAATTAAACAGGAAGTGCTTTCCAAATCAATTTCAGATTTTTTACTCACTAATACATTTGTACGAGGAAGATAGTAACAAGAAAAGAAGATAAAAAAAGAGTGTTTTTTCTAGGTAAAGCATTACATCCTTTACAATGAGTTTAAAATGTGTCTTCCTTTTAACTGTTTTAGACTTGTGGGTCTTAAATTGTAATAAAACAAAGTGGATATTAAAGTTTTTAATAGGGGACACAGCCATTTTTTTGGTGTGAAGCGTGTCTTCTCTCTGTAATACATTTGCATTGGTTATGTATTGTACTGTGTTTTCGAAGAATATTGGACCAACGTCATCAAGCATAAAGGCCTACAGCTCAGTCAGGCTCAAGCGTCATCCGTGGAGACCTGCACCATAAGCCAAAGGATAAATAAAACTCTACTGTATCATATCGTATAAACTGAAAAGACTTGGTTTAGAGGCTTACACAGAGTTTTCAAGATGGGTGGAAATTCTTGACCGTAGATCAGTGGCTCCCAATCCTGGTCCTAGGTACAGCATAGCCCCATTTACACTACCCTCCGAAAACTGATCTGTGCCGAGCTCGTATCAGTTAACCGTGCCAAGCTTGGTTCCTTACGACCATTTACACACCATGCTAGCATCGCCTTCTAGTGATGATCTACGGTCCTACTGCTCTTTGGAAGTAAACAAGCAAACCAACATGGCGGAGCCCGTAATATTCCGGAAGTTTGCAGATAGTCAGGCGAAGAAGGCAGCCTTGGTTGAATTTACTTGACCGAGTCGGCTTTTGGGAAGTGGATATGACAAATGATAGTCTAATCAGGGCTTACAGAAGCAGGAAACAATAACAGGAGTTGAGGTTCATCACACTGCTAAGAAAAGTAATCACTGGAAATCATATTTTTATGAATGTCTGAAATGTTATGATTACGGAAGCTGACTGTAAGGAGATGATGCAGTCTGCTCATGCAGTCCTTGTTATCTAAGAACAATGCCTGAACTGTCTGGCATGGTCCGGTTCAGCTGTACCTGCCATTCGCACTCAACAGTCATCTAGGTTACGGTGCTCGGACCGATCTCTGAACGATTTCAAAAGGGTGGTGTAGATGGGGCTTATGTCTCGATTCCATAAGACCTCATTTAAATGAGGGCTCTAAAGTGCTGCAGAAGCCTGTCAGTCATCCATTGTTTTCTGGTAACAAAGAAACACCTAAAGCATGAAGGACAGCGGTACCTGAAGAACAGGGCTGGGAACCTTCCATAGATCATATTCCATTTGTTTGGAAAAAAAAGAAAACAATACTCTTTGCTTTTAATGATGCTATTTCACCAGTAAAATAACTGGATGCTGTATGATAACTTGAATCCTTTAAATTATTGTGTTCTGAAATTATCTGAGAGCTGTTGATACAAGGTATACTTGAACAAAAGAAAACATTAACTGCAGATAACATGAACAGATTGGCTTAAGCTTTACTACAAATTACATGATATAACGACTGCTCTTGAGATTTGTTGCTTCATAGTCTTTATTCTTGCACCTCAGAGTGACTATAGTACAAGTCTAAGACTAGAGTCACAGCTTCTGGTGTGCACACACAAACAGATTGTTATTACCGGCTGAGTGTTGCTGGCTGAGGGGGGGAGGGGGTTGTGTCGAATGTCAACACTTCTAAAACACACTTGTCACTTACAAGGCATTCTAGTCATCACCTTACTCTACACTCACACATATCCCACCCATCCCTGCTGCCAAAGCCACAGGTGGATCAAATTCTCAGGTTTTACCAATTTTTTGTTTCTTTTCATCAGTGTTTTCTACAGAAGAAGGTCAACCTAAGTAAAGGAGTTGATCTTTTCCACTCAAAGCCGCCGGAAAATGCATTTTAATAAGGCTTGGGTTAAGACCAAGGCAGAGGAGGATGGGACTGTGAGATTCTGGACGGTCTCATGTTACTGAGCGAGGATGAGGGCCTGGGGGTTGCAGTGCTGCATGCCTTTGGCAAGTCGTTAACGGCTTTAACAGTGTGACAGACAGGCGGGCCGTAAGAGGAACCCCCTGATGATGACAGACATCTCATTCTCAGATGTCTCAACAGAACACCAATGAGTCGCACAGCAAATCTGAAACTGAATGGTCAATGTTTATTAACCAATAAGCCTGTTTAGCACTCAAATGATTACCAGTGAACACTGTAGGCTTACAATGGGATAACAGTTCTGTAAATATGATTTCTATTTGTCTGTTTTATCTGTAACTTTATCTGAACCATAGTTGCATATTTCTCACCTGGACACACAAACCAAGTAACAACTCACCATGCTCTGAGCTCTCGCTGCAGCTCTTATCTCCTCTTGCATCATGAGTGCTCCGTCTGTCTCTGTGATGAGCTTGGTTAGGCTTGATACCCATCACCACTTTGGGCTTTCGGCCTCTTTTCTTCATCACAGTCTCACCTGTCATCCTGTCCTCTCGATCTGATGGGTTAACACGAACCAAATTTTAGTTTAAGAATGCTAAATAAATGTTTGATAGGTAATAAATTAAAAAAGGAATGCTCACACCAACCCCCTTACCTTTCCTGCCTTGTCTGCAGAGATTCTTGGAAGGTTCATCCTCGCTGCTGTGCAGCCCGCTGACTGCTGGTGCATCACACTGGGTGCCAGTTTTCTGCTTCATCTGGGTGGCCTGCCTCGCCAGCCTGGAGCTCAGAGAACTGGGCCGACCTCTGTGCTTACAACGAGCTTTCATCTATGAACAGGAGGCCAAACAACTGGCATTAACTTATCTCCCTGTGGCTACTGAAACTTTCTTGAAAGAAAAATGCAAAAGGAGATAAATAACTGCAGGACAGCTGACCTGAGCGACACTTAGACTGCTGAAGCTGTGATTGGACAAAGCATTCCTGTTCCTTTGTTCGAGTATATTCGGTCCAGTCCTGGAAACAATGAAACACAGCAAAGATTGTCATAACATGAGAAATTATACCAAACAGGCATTATATCATGACCATTCCCAACTGAAGCTGATAAAACTGATTATGTTTTACTCATGGGGGATTGTTGGGTGACCATTTGAGGAAGCAAGAAAATATTTTTTCCTGGACTTCCTGGAAGCAGCGATAATTTGAGATTGATGGCACCAAATGAAGGGATGGTGAGACTGGATCAGAGTATAACCTGCAGCTCTTATGATGCGTTTCTGGGGTCCAGTGGCCGCTGGTTTTGTAACTTCAAAAGAACTGCTATGTCCGTAGCACTAGCTACTCTCAAACTGCTAAAGACATGAAATTTTTATATTTTCTGTTCCAGAATATAAAATAAACTTTTCACTGGCTTCCTTAAAAAAAGCACACTTCATTTAATTTTGTTGTGTTTAAGCTTTGCTGAAGACAAAGCAGGATTCTAAAATTGGCGCCTATTGAATGAAAAAAGCACCAAGAAGGAAAGTGACCATTAGAACCAGTAAACAGTTCAATGAAAGACTGATGTTCGGAGTAATTAATCATGTTTTCTTTTGTAAAATCCAGGGATGACTGGCTTTGTGTGTATCATCTACCAAGAGACACACAACAATGGGAAGAAAAAGCAGAAAAGTGGGTGTGATGCATTAGAAAGCTTCGGTTCCTGCTAGCTATCTAGACTTTATCACCTAGGGTTTTTTTGCTGACTTTTTAAACTCATTCATGCAGACTATATTCCTATTGAGGACCAATGCTGCCATAATTAAAATTCATAAATCATACATGACTCATAAATATACATTTTTAGTGAAATAATGGCTTGAAATTTGAATTATTGCACCTCAAATTGCAACAAATTAATAAAAGCTACCTATGTTTTAAGCCTTTTTTAGGGACACACCCTACCACAAAGATTAATTACCTCAGCAATGGTTTGTAGAGCACACGGTTTAAAATATTGACTTGGTCTCCAAATCCTTCAGAACTCAATCAAACTTAGCATCCGTTTGACGGAGTGAACAAAGAAATCCAGTCCATTAAGGCTGCATCTTGCAACTTACAGGCTAAAACACCTAGGTGCCGGGTAGCGGCTCACGTCTTTAGCGGTCAGGTGGACCCGGCCTCAGTGGAACAGGGCTTTTTCTCTCACACTGAAACAATTGTTGCCACAGATACCCTCTCAGCTCTTTCCTTTCCAGTTTTGCTTTTATCTCATAATGGTTTCTTCATTGTCTTTAAGGCCTCTGTTCTCTTATCACTGTCTTATTTCTTTTATGAGGAGTGATGCAGGTTTTGAGAACTGCCAACATAACAGAAATATACAGCAGCTGTGCAAATATAAAGGAGAACCATACATAAAAGAGCAAGAGTTGGTCTAAGAAACGAAGCTGCACTGAAGATAGAGACAGAGCGAAGGGGGAGAGGGGGGAGAGAGAAGGAGAGAGAGATGAAGCAGTCTCGAGGGAGTCTGTCCGTTGACCGGAGCTTCAGGGCTCAATCGATAAACACTAACCTCTATTGAATACTACTCCTCCCTGCCTCTCTCTTGCTTGGTCCTTCCTTCACTGCCAGCATGGACTGTTAGACCACAGGCAGCCAACACACACACACAAACCCACACTCAGTTAGTAGCTGGTGTCTGAGGCAGGTGAATCTTATATTCCCACAGAGGGAAGGATTGGCTCGGAGCATCTCCGCTCCCAGGAGAGGAGAGGAAAAGAGGAGGAGTCTGTAATCTAAAACCCCTTCATTCAACCCCAGAATTCTGAGCTCCGTAGACCAAAATCCTATTGCATAAAAAAGGTTTTAAAAGTAGCCTGTATTAGATTCCCGTTAAATAATAGAACAATTTTAAAGCTGACGCACTGGTTTCACTTTTTAAGGTCATTTGCTGTTTCAGTGGGTTGGTAACGTGAGAAGTCATCAACAAGAAACTGAACTGTTCTACAGCCAAGGGCGAGTCAGGCCTTATTTCATTACAATAAACCCAACAATCAAATATCAGACAAACACTTTTTCATTAAAAAACAAAAGGACCTCATCCTAAATCTAGGACGATGTTTAAGTTTGAAAAACAGTAGAGTCAGCATCTGTATAGAAAACTCTCAAATAGGTTCCCTGCCAAATATTGGGTCAATACACACGTGAAATTACTAGCAGAGTCTATAAGCTAGAAAAAACAAATAAGATTAGCAAATGTAATGACTGTTCATAAGCAGATTCTCAGTTTGCCTAGAATTTAACCTGGCTAAGAGATGCAGTGTGTCCAAAAAGGGATTGATAAAGTCCTTTATAATATTTCAGAATTAAAGCCCAGGTATGAAACAAACCAACAAGAACACCTTAATTCATTCCAAAATGTTTTATACTTGGATCTTCAAAAAGTCATAAAATCTCAAAATGTAAGACTGAACTACATTTGAACTTTTAAATGAAAATATTTGAACTGTAAAGTGCCTTGAGATGACATGTGTTGTGAATTAGTGCTACATAAATAAACTTCACTGAATTGAATTGAAAACTGATTGACGATTGAGCCCATTTTCGGGGCCTTATTTGACCCGGACACCAGGGAAAGAAACATGGCGATACATTAGAGTCCCAGGCTGTAGTTGCTGCCTTCTTAGCATACTGCCTGCCTAGCATCGCTCGAGTGCATGTTAAGTGTAAAAACAACCTTTTTCAAATTTAACTGAACCATCTAACTAATCTCTCAGAGTTTTACAGTAGACTTTCACCCTCATTCAACATGAGAGGATAAAACACCAACAAACGACACATTGCTGGTAAATGTAAAAACTGTAATGTTATGCGGGCACGTAGAAACCAGCTTGGATAATTAAACAAGTTCCCCCAAACAGCTCTGTGTGCGTAGATGCTGGTATATTATGGCAAAAGGTTTTCATTGTCATTTTCATTAGCAGCTTCTAATCATGGTAATCGTGACAAACTGTGAGTTTCTTTAATCATTTTATCAAAGCGACGATGGAGTCTCTAACAGAGGTGGGGAACCCTGAGAAAACACATTTATCTCAGAGAATGCCATGAACGTGGCGGTGTGTTTGATTTGAGTTTGTGTTCATCCTAAAGTTAGCATGTTTGAGGTGCTATAGTGTGTGGTGATGTGTTGCAGCAGATGAAGGAGGTGTTGAGTCATTTATAGCTGGAATAGCTGTACATCCAGACCCTGTCCAGCTGTATTAGTATGTGCAAGAGGTTCACACTGAATTAGGACACAATCAATACCAGTGATAAATATGATTAAAAGTGATTAATGATGATTAATGAAGCCCTCAGCTCCATTACCTTCTCTCATTAAAAATCACAGCCATCTTGCAGCTTCCATCACATAACCAACTGTGTGCGTGCGTGTGTTTATGAATGTGTGCGTGCACGCATGAACAGCTCCTTCCAGGGCCCAATCAAGCAAATCATCAGCTATAGAGCATTTGAATCAATTCAGCTGAAGAAGAACTTCTTGAAAATCAACCATGCCTTTCACCAAAAACACAAACAGAAATCAGGATGAATGAGCTGGGCTTGCCAATCACGCTGATTATAGTGACGCAGTATCAGAGCACTGACCTGAGTCTTTTTGAGCTCTCCGCAGCAGCTGGGCCAGGGGTGGACTTGCGCTTTCGGGGACGGCCAGGCCCCCTGCGAGCCGCGCTACGAGATGTCTCGTCTTTCCTGCAGGGAGAGAAGGCAGAAAAGAAGAGTAAGATGGAGAGAGAGAAAGGGGGGACGCAACAGAAATCAGGCAGGGGGCTGCAAAGGCTGCAGATCAAAATGCCTCGTGCATGAAAAAGTCTGTAGGTCGGGATAAATCAGGAAATGAAACAGCAACCCTGAATGCGGGAATGGACAATTCAGTAAAGACAAAAAGAACTGTGTGTGTGTGTGTGTGTGTGTGTGTGTGTGTGTGTGTGTGTGTGTGTGTGTGTGTGTGTGTGTGTGTGTGTGTTGTCAGGGTGTGTTATTCTGCTCACTGGTGGTCGTGTTTCCTCTGTAGTTTGGCCAGCTCTCTCTGTTTCTCTTTGTAGCGGCGCTGTAGCTCTGCCAGCTGGACACGCATGGCCAGCTCCTCCCCCCCCATCGTCTCCATGGAGCCCTTCACTGGGCACACCTGACACAAACACACAAACACACATACACAGACCCAAAGTAGAGGAATTTAAAATGCTGTTCACAAAGCCCAGTCCCACAGACATCGAATGTGTGACCAGTGAGTTTTTTGGCGTGCTTTTTGATGATACAGGTTCTCCAGTGAGAGTCTACAGAATTGACAAAGACTCTTGGAAAAGCGTCCAAACATGTTTAGAAAAACTGAGCAAAAGACTGGTTGCTTCCATTTTAGGCTTTTTTTTATGGCTGCCATGACTGAGAATTTACACAGACATGCAGGTTTTATCTCCTTTCAGTGTTGAGCTTCTGCTCTTATTTTTAGAAATTAGCACTTCTGCCAGGAAAACATGTTTGCAACATGGAGTCAAGCAAAAAACAAACTTTAAAACGTAGTATAAGGTGTTCTTTACATTAAGCTACTTTGATAATAAAAGGTTCACGCTCAGGTTCTTACATCTCAATTTTCTTTTCCTTAAATGAAAAGGTTTTGATCATAAAATGTTCTGCATCCTTCTTTTTTTCTGTTCTGTTTCTTTCTTTTTGAACATTCAAACTGTTATCTTATTAATTTCATTGACTTTAATGTTTGTGACAGTAATATGAACCGTTCTGCTACACTGAAGTTTTGAATATGCAAAACAGGCTGACATTGTAAATGTTTCACTGATAAAAGTGCCTGCCTGATAATGCAGTGCTTCTCTGATGGTAAGTGGGTATATGGAGCCATAGGCGACGTAGAGCGACTACAGCAGCTGATGGGGGAGAGAATTTATGTTTCTGCTCCCCCATCCTTTCAGTGAGAGAAACCTGATCACTTCCAGCCGTCCAACTACCTTTGAAGGTTTATTTCTTCTTGTATTTCATTTAAACTGCCACAACAAAAATCATTATTAGCAATAAATTCTAATCTTTAGATTCACCCTCCTTCTCCTCAAAGTTGGTTCAGTCCAACTCGCCACACAGAAGTTGCTCTGTCTGAACAAAATCTCTTCAGTGGCTCTTTACAGCCAGAGCGGGAAAAGACAGCATGAACCGAATCTCAATCAGCTTTTTAAGTGTCATTATTCTGCTGCTTCTTACTCACTCACTATAAATATGACAAAATGGAAGTTTTCACAGCTTTGCTGTAGAGTTCAGACCTGCAATCAGGCAGCCAGTGAAATGCAAGCAAATGCAGGTGTTCTATGTGAACATTTTAAATGGATGTATTGATTAGCATATGGAAAAAAAAAACGTAAAATCAAATGTATTACCAAGAATTAAGCCTGGGATCTACAGGGAAACAAAGAATATCTTAGGACCCAATGCCACCAGCCCAACACATTACAATCTTCCAGATTATTGTCCCCTTTATGCACTGAAAGGGTTTCATAAGCAGTAAATCATATGGTTTATGTATGTGTTGCAAATATATGTCTGATGTGTATTTTGCTGAAGAAGGTGTTGGAGAAGGTCTCCTGATTCTTTCTAATTTTGCTTCCCCATTTTAAAAGCTAATCAGCTGCCCAAGTACCATTTAGTATCATGTTAAAACCACAACCCTCAGTGTACCTTGGATGGATTTCATGTGATACAGCACAACAAAAGAAGGTTGTGAAGTGAAGGAAAAAACAATAAAAGTTTTAATTTATTACCTATAAATCATCACGGCGAAAGTCTATCAGCTTAAGCTACTACTATTAAAAAAAAAAACTGCTATGGGAAGTTGGACAGATCACATCTGGGCAGACGAATGGCAGAAAAGAAAAGGATTCCCACAGCATGATGCTGCCACCACTGTGTGAAGGGTGAGTTTAGAATGATGAGCAATATTAATCAGCTCTTTGGCTAAAGCATTCAAATGGTGTTGTCTGAAAAAGCAGCTTCCTCTACATGTTTACTAGGTCACCTGCTTGGCTTCCCAAACAGAGCTGCTGAGGACCTTTAAGTCTTCAGTGTTGCTATTTTTGCTGATGTGCTTTTTATTCAGTAATGGATTACTTTATTCTTCAATATTTTATTAAAAGCATCTACTATCAGCTCAGTTAAATATTCATACTGGAGTTGTGCTGCTTGAGGTGGTTGCATTGTGGTGGATCTACAGTAGATCCCTCCTGCCAACAGTTACAGAGTACCACAACATTTCATTTCTTTCTGGGATCAATAAAACATTTTTTTAATGTAACTAAATTAAATTGACTTGAATTGAACTGTAAGGCTGCACGGTGAAGTTTGTAGCACTGTTGCCTTGCAGCAAGAAGTCTGGGGTTTGATTCCTGGCCCCTTTCTGCATGGAGTTTGTATGTTGTCTCCATGCAAAAACAGAATTATGAGATTAAAACAAAAAT